CTTGTGGTTGCTGTTTATTATAAACTTGCTTTCAGTTACAAGATGGGATCATTTTGGGTGTCTGAGCAGATGTTAGTTGCAATTTTTAAGTTAAAAAAAATCCATTTATAAAGCAATTTAGGTTTTTCTTCTAACGTCAAAGTATAAATGTATCTTCTTCTTAACTTTACGTTGTTGTTCTGTTCAAACTGTCGCAAGTTCATTTCCACTAACTAGCAATAGTCACATAGTCGAAGTCGGTACATTTGGAGGCCCGTTAAACTACTCATCAAACCTACTTTCACCCTTTACCACGTCAATTTCAGTATCCTTCGTTCTGTCACAAATAATACTGGCGAACAGTAAAATGATTACTATTCTCATACGATATTCGTCCTCCAAAAATATTCTCAAACACACTCAATCTATGTTCTTCCGTTAGACGAGAGACCAAGTTACACATCCATACAAAACAATGGATAAACGTCAGAGCCGTTAGAAAGAAACGAAAAATGAAATCTTCTGGTTTATTTATGTAATTCGGTGGTCCTCTGGAACACAGCATCACGCCAAACACTCGAGGTGAGTGTAGGCCTCAACTATTTGGCTAACAGCGCTGGCTGACTGATGAATCTTATCGGTTCTGCTGTGTTCCGGTGTACGGAATAGCACTGGACCGCGAAAACAAGACAGAAGACTTTTTATTATTCGTTTTTTCAGAATGTTAGCTGGGCTAACACGGTTAACGTGAACGCTCAACTCCTGATAAAGTTACATTTGCTGTGTTTCGTAAACCTTAAATTTTGTAAGATTTGAGGTTATGTCGAGTCTCAGATTTGTTTTTAATAGCAGACCAGAAGATAAACTGGATGTTGTGAACTCGGAATTGGGCTCTGCTTTTCGATAAAAACGGGGAATTCCTTGACCAGGGTTATTAAGTTCTAAAGAACTTTTTGTCCACGGCGTTTGTCGAATGTTTTTGATTGGGAAACCGTTAATAGTTGTGACTAGATGCTCTTTGCATGTCTTTTTCGTTCTAATGAGCTATCGTAATACAATTCTTCGAGTTATATTGATTTCCGTTGGAGCGCTACTGTACACTCCTGCGAGGTGGTCACCAACGCAACGAGCATTGATCGATGAATTCTGTGTTGTTTGCATAATGTACTACAGATGGCAGTGCAATTGGCGACAAATTATTCCATCTAATATATTTGTGCTTTGTAATCGATTTTAAGTCACTTGAGTTTTCAAAAGAGTTTTTAAATATTTTTTTGTATTACATTAATGAACTTCAGTGTTAACTGTGGGGTTGATGTATAAAAGTATCAACAATGTCACGCGTGGCTTTTGTTGATGCTTCTACAGCGCCGTCAGACTCTGGCGGTTAGAAAGGCAATCGCTCGCAGGCGTTCTCGTGTGGTTGGCACGAAACGTATTGAGCGACTCGTGACATCCGAACGTGTTGGGGAGATTCAGACAGTAATATAGGCCTAAACCGATCGCGGAAATCGTAAGTACTTCTGAAACTTAATAATGTGAATATAAAGTGGCTTTGTGCAGACAAAAGGAGAAGAATGGAAGTTACAAGAAATATTTAGTGGAGTTTAAGCAATGGAACTTGGGAACTACTTAGCTAACATAATAAGATTTTACCACTGTATATTTAATGTAAAACGTAATTTGAGAAATTTTAAGGGTGTTCAGTTAAATATGTATCTGTATTCAGTAGTACTATTTATAAGAAGTCGATTTGCAGTTTAGACTCCTGAGTGGAGTATTTTTCAGATACATTCTTCGCTGATTTGAGTGTGAGTGTTCGAGGACAGACAACATTTCAGCCTAACAGAAAGGAGGTAATTACGTGATGAGTAGCTTCAAAATTTGTATTCGTCATCAGGCATCTTAGGAAATTGAGATTACGGAAGATGGGCGAGGTATGTAGAAGGCAGAAGATATATGAGGAACAGTGGAAAATGTATAGTAAACGTAAATGGGAGAGACCACCTGTGAAATTGGTATGTATGGGAGGATAATATTAAAATCGGTATTAATACATCAGATATGATAATATGGACGGGACACATTTGGCTCAGTATAGGGTCCGATAACATTCTATAATGCGGTAATATGAACCTTAGGGTTGAATAAAATATGTGGAATTTCTTGGTTGGGTTCTCAAGGAGGATTTTATTTTATGGAGTGAGCTTTGTGGGGAGTAGTATATAATCTACATCTAAAATAAATTAAATAAATTGCATTACTGATTATTCAGTGTTTATCATAAAATATATATATTTTTTAAGAAATTTCACGTACCCCCTAAGATGTCTTCGCGTACCCCAGGTTGAATACCACTGATTTAGACGAATATTACATGCTTAATCATTCCTTATCGTACGTGGTTTCCGTACGTCGAGCTACTTTTTGATAAAAATCCTTCTTAAGCGTACAAAAGTAATATGAGACTCTGCCCAGCCTTTCAATCGCCTGCTCTGATTTCAGTAGACTACATGCTTAACACCAGAGTCGGAGAAGTTGCCGAACTCTGACGGCGCTCTGCTTCTGCAGGTTGTTCTCATTGTCTTTTAATATGGTCTCACTTCGTCCCTTATGCAAAATAAACTAGAGGTCTGCACGAGCAGGAATTTTATCTTCAGATATGTTACCCGAATCCTATCGAAGCGCGATCTATTTGTAATCTATCCTGAGTGTCGTGTTATTAATACAGTTTTCTTTTAATACATAAATTATAGTAATCCTTGAGTGAACTAACGATATTTTCTTTAAAAAAAATGAAGTAATGTATCGGATACTAAGTTTGTACGGTTTCATCTCGAACTTTTTCTGGGAGGCAGCAACTACGAACATCTCTGAAAAAAACATCAGACGAGCGAAACTACGAATAACTTTTTCTTTTCGTCAGAAGAATGGCTCAGAGAGAGCCCGAAATGTTCTGTGCTACCAGGCCCGGGCCCGGGCCCGTACAGACCTCTAGGGCGAGCCCTTTGGTGGGATTGAACAGGGAAATCGCTCAGCTGAAGGGGGCCAGGAGTGCTAAAATGAAGATGGCTGTCTTCTGAGTTTTAGGGTCGTATAGTCTGGTAGAAGTTTACCAACGTTTCAGAAATATTGTCTTGATGATGGAGGCAGCAAGGACCTCTGAAACGTTGACATATTTCCACCAGACTACATTTTTTTTTGCCATAACCCAGAAGATATCCATCTTTGGATTCACTTCCGTGAAAATCTCAAATTCTATGGGGTGATAAACTGATTTCGGTATTTTGAGCTTTTAAATAATTTTGTTTCTAAATACACGAAGCAAAATATGACTAGCGGAGTTGTGAGACTAATCACACTGTTGAGCTCATTCTCCCGATTGTCTCAACAGTTATGGAATTATAGGAGGATTTTAGCTGTTTCATGTGATAAGAGCCTGAGGAGTATTATGGGATTTTTGCATTGAAATAGTCGGCACGGACAAGCAACAAGTGTAAATATAAACAAACTGAGGTTTAGCAGTTTTACAAGACAATAAACTTTAGGACGGACGTCGAAATCAGCGGTATGTTGATCATGGCGGTTGCATGAATCAAAAATCTGACTCTCAGGGTTCGATTTCATGATCGCGTGCACCCGAATCGAGTACCCTGTCAGAGTTCTAACTCGCATTCTATTCTTGCTCAATTTTATCAGTCCAATCACAATAAAATATTATTATTAAATATTAAAATATTAATATTTAAATATTCGGTAGAGAGCATCATTTTAATATATTTTAAATATTTAAATGTTAATTGTAATAATATTTTAATATTTAATAATAATATTTTATTGTGATTGGACTGATAAAATTGAGCAAATATATATTCAACACAATATGACGCAACATTATCACCTTCGCATTCCTTTCTAATGTTATTGATTTATAGTGCACCAAAAAGGTATTTACGACACACGATGTGTATAGTTAAAAATTAAAGTTCTTTATGTAAGTTAACTGACGTAATCTTTTAAGAATATTTTTTTCTTTAAAATTTACGTATTAAGAGACTTTTAACATTATATCGTAGGATGATCATTTGATTTATTAATCGGTTTGAAATCCATAATCAAGGCTCTATGAATCTATGCTGTTCTTTCAATGGTCTATGCCCGGTAAACTGATAAGTACAGAACAAATCAGAACAGAGTTTAAAACATATTTTTATGTATTTTGATAACATTTGTGGAACGGGTATACATTAGATGGCAGTTCACCGGATAAAGGTTGTATGAAGGCGGTCATTTACCCTAACACGTTCATTGGTTCTTAGAATTGTATGACACGATTTATAATCTGTTAACAACACTTTGTTTCCAGTCCTAACTTCATTAAAAGTGGGCGCTGAATGGTAATGTATATGTGAGGAAGTGTCATTTGGCGGTAACTTAAGATCTTTTTACCACAGTGTCACGGTATGCTTCCTAAAAGCTCACGCAAATCGACTATGGTCTATATTCTTGCATTTGGATTACACACAAAACTGTATGTACGCCCGCCAGGGGACTTCCGAGGTATCCAGTCACATCAGAACCCTAATGATGGGGACAGAGTTGGTTCCCGAAACGTCGGTTTATTACTG